CGTGCGGTCGTCCCGACTTGCTGCCGCCGCCGCCGCGTACTTGCTACCGGGAGTAAACAGCCTGAAAGAAGAAATAATTAATCCTATAAAGAAACCATGGCCGACCACCTGGTGGACGGCCCGCCGAATAAGCGGCCGAAACTGGGGGATCCTTTTCAGGGGACTTCGGATTCCGCAGGTAAGTTTTTTAATTTCATCGCAAAACTTTGCTGAATTAGTCAGGGTTGCTACGCGACTAACCTTCAGGGATAAACGTCGCAAGTAGCACATAGGCGTTTTTAATTACATGATATATGCACATATCTTTCTTATTATTAAGAAATATATGCTCGTCGTTGTTTATCAAAGGCACACTGTCAATTTTTTGACGGGTGCAACCCTTTGAGCAAAGTTATTATATATTGATACTTCGGTTTTTCTTAAAAAATAAAACCTTCTTTCTGTAATCTTAGTTTTTTTTAAAAATAAATTCAAAAAATAATATCTATTTTCACAATATTTTTATATCGTTTTTGAACTTTTACGACTGCTATGGTTATAACTGATTGTTTCATTTTATGTTACAAGTGTTATCCTTTGACAGGATCCTGTATTCAACATATCCTAAAATCATTTAATTTTCTTTTTTTTATTATCATGTATAACGATCGGAATTATATTTGACTGATAGTTAACTGTTTATAAACTAACCTAAATTGTTAGAAAGAAATATCGATGCGGAAATTATAATATTACCAATTGTTTAATGTATTGTTATTAATGTGTTTGAATAATGTAAAATTATTTTCTAAAATTTTAATTAATAATTAATTTGTTTATATAAAAATCAATAAATAATAATACTTCAGAATTAATAATATTCAATTATATCATAATATTGATATTAATGATATTTTAATCAAAATTTTCATCTTTTTATGTAATTCAATCTTAATATATAATTTTTTATATACTATTTCATTGAATAATTTATTTGAAAATTTTATAAAAATCATTTGACAATTATGTTAGGCAATTTGCATATAGTGTATAAATTTTGCTCAGAGGTCATAAAAGTATTCCGTGTTTAAAAAGTAATTGTTTGTATTACATAATCTATAACTTCTTGTCTTGTTGCACGTTCTTTCTCTTAATTAAAATTTAACCTAAACAAAATAATAGTATTTTGTAAATTTTTTAGTCATCATTAAATTTAGTTCTTCTTTTATTTTTGTAGTGCATGGCAAATGCATGAAGTTTAAATAATTATTAAAAAAAAGATATGCTGGCATGATTGATGCGCTAACCATCTCTTGATTCTTATTTTCCTTAAGTGCTACTTGATCACCTTAACAGTTTCTGAACTCAATAATAATATTTCATATAATCCCATATTAAATCAGTAATGACTGTGCCACTTAAATACTTGATGTATCAATCACAAAATTTAGTCAGGTTACACAAAATAAGTGGCAGACATAGTCTTTATTATGTAGGTTTATTTATATTAATTAAATTACTTTATTAAAAAGAAAATTTAGGCTATTTCTGCTGCTTAAAAGCTGTGATCCCGAAAGCATAGACAGTTTTTCTACAGTCTGAAATAAAAACTGTGATATATGTAGTGGGTATGGCGCCTCTAATGATGCACCATGCTTATACAAACTACGGGGGAGGTGGCAGTGGTAACATGCAACAAATGCAGGGCCCGCCACAACAACAACATCTACAACAGCATCAGCTGCAGCCACATTGGAACAACCATACCATCCAGAAAAGAAGTAAATATTATTACAAAACCCAGCAAAAAGTTCAAAAATATTAAATTTAGCACTACAAAATTTGTTTGTCTGTCCATTCATCTCATTTATTAGTATCATAAAGTTGTAAAATCATTTAATTACTTTCAATTTTTGTCATAATTTACTGCTAAAATGATTAAAACATTTTTATATTGTTCAAAAAATGTATATAGTTTTGGCATATTGTCACTATGGTTCAATAAAATTATTTTATTATTGTTATATGTAAAACCTAATAAACATAAGGATTACATTGTTTACTTATATAATAGAATATAAGAATAAATAAATGTAACAAATGTATTGTTTTATATTTGAGAGAAATTTGTTTCTTTTATAAGATACTGGAGAAAAATTGGATCACTCTGAATATTGTAAAAAATAAAACATTTTAATTTAATATATAATATTGAAAATATAAAAAATTATGCTTTAAACACTTTTATGTGTGATAAATGTAATATGGACATGCGACACACATGTACAGAGCTCTAAAATTTTATATACCAAATTAAAACTATTAAGTTTTGTTGTATAAATTTTTTTAAATAAAATGTGATTACATGTTTAATAAAATAAAATTAAATTAGGTTGTTAGGTAGGTAACTATAATGTTTTGTATATAATTGTTTTTATATTTATTTATAGGTAATTGATACTATAATTGAAATAAACCTATTTATATTAATTGTAAGAGTTTCAGAAACTTTTTTTTAATGTTATAGCATTAAAAAAATATTCCATTTATAATAATAATTGTAAATACTCTTTAGAGTGATTATGATTTCTTCGCATGACTGTCTACTCTAAAGTTTGCCATTAGTAGCTTTGCTGCTTTTGTAGTTTAGCACGTCTTTATTGTGAAGAAATTTTTATTCTGCTGTAATATAAACTTCTTTAAGTTATGCTCACACATTGTATGTCTCATGTCTTATTTATTTATGTATATGTTTTTTATATTTAAATGTAGTTTGTGTAGAAATTCATATTGTTTTATTTTTTTTTTTTTATATATATATATTTTTTTTAAATTTGCATTTGACCCCTTTTTTCTCCGTTGTTGTATGGTCAATCATGTAAGTAAGTTAAGGAAATATTTTTATATGATAAATATATTTTACATTGTAGGTTAGTATAATTTGAACAAATATAATTTCTTACAATTGAAAATATGATATGTACATAAATGTCAAAAAATTTGTGCATGTATATATATATATGTGCATGTATCTTTACATGCAGGTATATTTTATAACATGCATTTATATTACATGTGGTAGTATGAAAATTTTATTATTAAATCTTTAGATAGAAGCTATGGTGACGGTGATGAATCTTATCTTTATATCATTTACTAATGGTTTTTTGGTCTCTATGGTATATGTTACATTTAATATCATTATCTAACAATATTTTTAACTAGTTATCTAGAAAAGTAATTCTTCAGTCATGGTGTTGAACTTTTTTATATATTTATAATATATAAATACATCTTATATATATATATATATCTGTAAATAAAGAAAATGTTTAATTTCAAGATAAAATATGCTTAATATTATGATGCAGCATCTATGATTAGGCACTTTACTTTTGTAGTAACTAGTATCTTTTACAGCAATGTATATATTAAAATATTTTTACTAATGAAAATGTTTATTCTCAGATTATATAACAAACACAGATATGTTTGATCTTGAAAATGATCTACCTGATGATCTATTGTCATCGGGATCTTGGGGTTCTGCAACTGAAAGTGCTAAACCACCAGCAACAGGTCCAGGTCCAGGGCAACAAAATGGTGCTCTTGATTCAGAACTTAGACATGTTCAACAGCAACAGCAACTTTCGCATCATCTCATACAACAACAAGTTCGTATATATATATATAT